CTCTGAAAGGAGGCATAAATAAGAAGGGGGAAACGAGGGAGCGATGCTGGCTCAATCGCCCAGCCCTCCTCCGAGCAGGACGGGGTGCACCTCTCTTCCTCTCTGCTCGGAGCTGCTTTCTCTCAGCCCTCAGCCATTTTGGAAAGGGAAAAAGTGGCTGCTTTCTCTCTCCCTCTCTCATTACGTGGCATAGCATTGGAGACGTTTCGGCTGTTGCACTTCGGAAATAATCTGTTTGCAGGACAAAAAAAAAAAAAACAACAAAAAAACCGAGAGGCAACCAAAAACCTGTATCCATCGTGATTTTTTTTTTTTTTTTTATTTGCGGAGCTCCTCTCCTCTTTAGAGTTTTCTTTAACAACTTTTGCTCCACTTTTGTTGACAGATTATTTGGCTCTCGTCTCTGTTCAGTTATATCTTTTGCCCATCCCTCAGACTAATTTCGTGTAACAGAATTTAAGACAAAGGGATATGTCCAGATTTTGGCAGCACTAAGAAAAGACAGAGCTGAAGCCAAGGATCCTGCTGGGATCCAAAAAAGCCAAGCAGAATGAAGCATCAAAAAAAAAAAAAAAGAAAGGAAGAAAAAAAGAAAACACCACCCTTTGCTTGGTCACAAATTCCACTTTCTCTGTAGCCAGCCCTGCGCTGCGCCTCCTCCTCATCCACATCTCACCGCATTCAACCTTTTGCCATTTCTCTCTTGCCGTACCATTTTTTTTCAAAGGCTATTTGAGGTTTTGTACCCTGGAAAATAGGGACCGGACAGCGGGTTATGAGGGCGTAACTGGGAGTGAACGAGGGGACATTATCAGTTCACTTTCGGGTGTTATTTAGATTTTTTTTTCCTCGTTACTTTCTCTGAATTGTTGCTTTGCTGCCTGTAGTTTTTATGGCCGTTTGTGTCTTACTGTAAGGGTGTGCATGGACCACCACGTGTTTGTAAGTGCGTGATTTTTGGAACGTGTGTGCATGAATATTGCATTTTTGAATGCTACTCATGCTTTGTTGTTCACAGATCATTTATACTGATGATTTATGTATCTGTTTTTTTAGGGTTTTTGTTATTTACGCCAAAGCACCGGCCTGCACTGCTCCTCAAGCCTGACTTCATCTGATTTTAGAGGACATTTGACCATCAGGTCCAGCCTGTGTCCCCTGGTATGTTGGCAATTCAGACTGCTTTTAGTTTTCTCTCTGTCAGAGTAGTCTCCAATAAGCATCATATGATGTGTGTCTGATGATTTTTATCTGGGTGTGCGTATTTTAATATTGTTCGCTATTTTTGTTACTTAACAATTATTTACTGTGTTGTATGGCCGGTGGTAACGTCCAGAGAAAGGCGGAAAGATGAAAGCATATCTATGATCAGATTACTACGAAGAGGGAATTTATACAGAATTGCTTTTGTCTTGTTTTATTTTTTTGTGGTTTTATTGTTTTTGTTTTTAATACACACACACTGAATATGCTGCAGGGTTACTTCAGCAGTAGAGTTCATAGCTTCTAATATGATCTTGTAATATGGGAGGGTTATTCATAGTGCAGCTTCACATTTTATTTACTTAGCTTTACATCCAGCTGATTTCAGATTTATTGCATCAACCCATTTAATATTTAATGCCAAGTTAAGATTTTAAGGCTTTCTTTTATTGAGTGATATTTTAGACATGAATGCTGACCTCAGTCGAATGGGTTAAGTAGGCTACACAAACACCTCATTACCCTCACAGTCATGTGCTCTGGCCTGTTCAAGAACATTATTGCAACTTCAAAGCTCACCTCTGTTGGACATATGAGATCTATAGGTTTTCTGCTTACCTTTAAGAGATGTTTAAAAATATTTAAAAAGACAAATGATTGTTTCTTCTTGGTGTCTACTATTAAAATTGTACCGTTTTTACCATATTTTAATTTTTTTTGTTGTTTTACTGCTTTTTCTTTGAATAACTATAGTTACCTGGAGAGCATAGAGGGAGTTTCACATCTGAGTGTTTTTGTGGGTTTTCCTGTCTTGAAATGGGTAATGCTAGTTGCCACAAACCCGTAGATCCGAACTTGTGCTGACTGCCTATGCAAGCTCGTATCTATAGGTATGTGTCTTCCTGGCAAATTCTCCACTCGCCCTTCGCCTGTCAGAAAAATCAACAACAGAAGTGATGAAACAGCTCTGCAGCAGATATCTTTTTTTTTTACTCAATACTTATAAGGGCTGGAACTGATTTTGTTTGTGTTCCAATGATTAAACAACACGAAGCCTGAATCCTTGGATACGGGGTTTTCTCAGCCAAAATTATCCCACATGTGACGTGTTTGTGCAGTGACCCCACCCAGTTTGGAAGACTGTGTGATGGTGTAACATTGTGGATGACATTTTCACTACGTTACCCATTGATGACCCAGTCCACTAACATAGTGAACATGGTGAAGTGTTCAGATTCGTTCTGCTTTCTGGGTTTGGGGCTAAAAATGTTTTCATGTTTGGCTTTGCTCAATGCAGTGATGATGAAAATGTTTTCTCTTTGCATATAAATCTGTGCTGCAGCTTTTCAAAAACAAACACTTTTCTTAAAGAAAGGTTACATGTAGATATGCACCCATCAAGTTTAGAAATTAGCTGTTCAGATCGTGAAAAATTGTGCAATTTTTTTTATTCTCCATTAAATGCATTACAACTAACAACTCCTATAATTATAGAAACCAAAAGCACACACTTTAGATCCCTTTTTTAAGTTAATAATGATTAGACAATGATAAGGACATTTGAAGCATAAATTGGGAAAATCTTATCATTCCTTCATTCTCAGTCTGACTGAAAATGAAGGAAGAAAAATCGTGTTGTTTTCAGAATGGATAAGAAAAACAATATTTGAAATTTATCAAACATAGTTCAGAAAATCCCCAGAAAATCTGAAAAACAAATTGGAAAAAAAATCCCCCTCCACTGAGCAGCTGCAGTACTCAGTTTCTGTCTTTGTTCACCTCTGTGTGAGTACTACAGGCGGTTGGTATGAAAATATTCAGAAATAGTGAAAGAAATCAGTCAAAATTTGTCAACAATTTTTTGGAAAACAAATTATTTCGCAGGTATCTTCCTTAACACAGATACCTGCGAAATAAAGTCGGCATCATTGTTCGTCTGCATTGTAAATGGGTTGGAATATATTTCAAATGAGTTCAAATAAAATGATCTGAATTGGTTTAAGATATGGTTGGATTTTCTCTCCAGGCTCAGGACTTGGAGAGTCCTTTGCTCTCTGAGTCTTGGGTTAAAATCTTTATGAAAAACCCAAAGTTAATATAGGCCAGAAAAGGCCTGATTGGTGCATCTCTACTTAAAAAAGGGCAGTACTATATTTTATAGTTCAACTTTATTGTTAAACAATTATGTTTGGTCATGTCTGAAACTTAAACACACCAACAATCGATTGGATTTATAGTCGAAACATGGTTCAAACTGTAAAAGCAACAAGCTCTGAGTTTTTGCCTATTTGAATAACATCATATTCATGTTTTTTTTTTTTACTTTTCACAATAACAATAGACAATTGCCCCTCCAGCTACTCGCTCCGCCCTTTCTGAGCCGCCGTCCTTCTGTGTTCCTCAGGCTGAGGTAGTAGGTTGTATAGTTCAGAGTGACACCACAGGAGATAACTGTACAGCCTCCTAGCTTTCCCTGAGGAAACACAACACACTCTACTCTCACCAGGAATTTAAATTTGAACAACTTTGATGCATTTGCGGGGTTTTTTGAAATTATTTCTAAAAAAGAAGAATGCTACATTTTCAATGTTTTCACATTTTTACAGAAAAAAAATAAAAAAATCTGGACCAGCTAAAAAAGACAAGCATCTCATCCCGTGTGACAATATTTGTGACAGAAAGAGCTAATTAAAATCCTAACAGAGCACAGGACAATGCTTCAGATGTTTGAGAGTCAAGGGAAAAGTACCGTTGCATTGAGGTTTGTGGGACGTTGTAATGAAAGAGATGCCGCTGAATGGGGAAAACACCATACACCCGCAAAGGGAAGAGCACGGTTTTGGCAGCCAATTATGAACAAAGTTCAATTTCACTTAACCAAAACGATATATTTCCTCAGTGCAACTATGCGGTGAACATGCTGCTGCGATAAAAACAACTTTCACTGCTTCAGACCAAGAAACCCACAGACCCCAAAATCATCTACAGCAACTGGGGGTTTACTTATTTATTGTTTAATTTGGGCTGTACTCTGATTGATTTCCTGTGCATGCTCGCAGAAAATTCAGCTGGTTCCGATTAACATGTTTCTGTGAATAAACTTCTGATCAAATTCTGCTTAAACAGGGATTTTATTTGTAAATTGCCTGGCACTAAGGATGATTAAAAGCAGCCAGACAAATAATAGGATAAGCATAATTTTGAATGAACATATTTATTTTTTTTTCTTTCAAAGAAGTTTTCAGATGTGATCTCGGAGGCTTTGGCCGGTTGTTCCTGGTGCTGTGGTATGCTGCTGTGTGCAGATGTGAAGTACGTGGAGCATCGTGGTGATGAGAGGCTGTTTCCACTTAAACTCTTTGCTCTCTGTCTCAAGGCCACCGGGTTCGACAGCAGTGGGGTTAGGGAGCTCTTTGAGCCAGAATGAAGAAGAGGCCCTGGGTACGGGGTAGCTTTTCTCAGCGCGCGAGCGTGTACAGTTACAGCAGACACAACATTAATCTGCCGGGTTTATTTAGTCAGTGCATAAGTACTCTAGTTTGTATTTCTTGCCCTCGTGCAAGCAAAGTGCTTCATTTTGTTTTGCTTTTTGTGGATTTCTGTTTTGTGCTTTGCATCCTTCTTTGTGTGCTACGGTTCTCTCTCTCCGTGGGGTAGTGTGACACTCTGTACAGCAGGAGGCACCATCGAGCTCTCTCGTTCATCCCCCATGCACACACACTCCACTTTCCTTGTATATTATCTGAACATTAATAGTTACTCACGTGTTCTGACTGTAAATGTGGATCTAAACTGGGAGCTTTCCGAACAAAAAAAGTTTTTTAAACTGCTCGGAAAAATGTAGAAAATTAAAATACGGAACCGAACGATAGATTTTTATCGGGCTGAGCTTTACAAGACGAAGATAAAAACCAGCAGAGGGACAGAATGGGACCACACAGGCTTCTTACTGCCTTTACTGATCACTGTCCATTGTGTGCTGTCCCTGTAAAGAACCCTGTTCCGGTAATTCCCTCTTCTCCCCAGTCCTCTCGCTTTCGTCTTTCATCTCTTCTTTTTTTTCCACAATCCTTTTCTGCTACTTTAAAGGAGTAACATTGATCAAACATTGGAGTACCAACCAGCAGGCGTACAGTTACATTTCCTTTACCTCTTCCTGAACCAGTGCGTTTACTCCCTTCTCCCTCCTTTTCTGTTGTTCCCACCCTCCTTTTCTCCATGAAATGCACGCTGTAATACCGACTCACTTTCACAGACACAGAGGGCGAGGGAGACAGGAACAGAATAGTGGACTTGCCGACCGGAGGGGAAATTTTTTTTGTCTAAAATGAAAGTCAGCTTGGGAACGGACACTGTAAGATGAAAACATGCCTCCTTTTTCTTTTTCTTTTTCTGTCTTTGCTCCTTCTCTTATGTGCTCATGTTCAACACTTTCTCCATTCTTCCTGTGCTTCTCTGTTTTTCGGCTTCTCTTTCTACACCAGGCCTTTTTGCAGTCTAAGTGATTTCAGCTGTGGAAGGAAATGAATAGAAAATTATCTGAATTTCCTCACTCTTGTCCTGCTGTTTTGATGTTTTGCGTGCGTGTGTGTGTGTCTGTGTGTGTGTTGGCGTGCGTGTGTGTGTGTCACAGGCAGAGGAGCATGCAGGGGCTCCACAGTTTGTCTGCCCTGGGGACTTGAGCCTACAAAACCATGAAGCATACGAGGCAGAGGAGAGAAAGGCAATCAAAGCGGCACAAGCTCAAGCTGAGAGGTGTGATACAGCTAAAGACAAAGGCCTGAAGAAGGAACGTGAGGCAGATTGTGCCAGGAGACCAGATAGACCGACAGACAGTAGAGTCACATGGAGAAAATAGGCAGGAGCTCTACAGCAACAGGCGTTTCATGTTTCCCCCCCCAAAAAAAATCACTCCTATAGTCGTTTTGGCACTCGTGTGTGTCAGATCTGTTGAATTTAGATTTTTTTAAAAAAATAGCTTTTCTGTTATGTCGTTTCATTTTACGATCCGAGTTGCGATTTATGCAGACAACTTTAGGAAATGCTGAGATTTCACATTCTTGTGGCACGAGGTGTGGATTTTTGAATTGCTTTGGGGGATTTCCTTTGGATTCGACCGTTTTAGACACATTTCTCGTACTTTGCTGTATCACGGCTGTCACTGTGATGTATTTAGTTTTTTCTCTTTCTTATAGCTTCTTTTGTACCGTTCAGCACGGTTTTTACAGTAGCAGCTCAGGCCAATCGATCTGCTCGTTTCTTCCTTGTGCATACCATTCTTGTGCCAGAAAGAACATTTGTTCTTTCTCTAATTTTATTTTATTTTTTTTAAAGGTAGATTTACACGTTAACTCTTTCTGACTTTGTCGTGGTCCGCAGTCCTCACTACTTCCTGATCTAAACTTGTCTGTCCCTCTCCCCTTTAACATTGCACCTGCTTCCCCCTGCATCTCTCTCTGTGTTTCCCTGCCTCTCCTTCTGTTTCTCTCCGGCTGCACATGGTACAGTCTCGCATGTCTGAGCACCAGACGGCTAGACGGCAGCAATCTGCTCGAGAAGCCTCGTGCACTACTTTGAGTGATCCATTGAACAAAGCCAGTGAAGGCGGCACTAAAATCTTCCTCTACTTTTCTCTGCAGCATTCTCTCTTTTCCTCTCTCTCCCTTTTCTTTTCCCTTGCAGATTTCTCTCATTTTACGTCTCGTCTGGCCACATCTCCTCTCCCTCTGCTAAGATGACCTGCAGAGACACACGCTGAGGACTGCGGCAGCATAAGCCGCCTCGGCCAACGGGTGAGTTTCTTGCTTTTTCTCCTTCCTTGCGTCTTATCTCACCACTCCTCCCAGCCTCCTGTTTCTTCTCCTTTTCCATATCGCGTGCAGGTCGGATTTTATTCTCTCCGCCACACAAACGAGTTTCTTCCCTTAAAGTAATCGACTGGTGCAGGTTTGCAGGTCTGACAGTCCCGCTGTGCTTGGAGGTGTCGTTGTGATAGAAAATATAAGACCCTGCAGCCCACGTACGAAATCTGTTGTTCTCCTTTTTTCCTTTTTTTCTTTTTTATCTGACTGCTCTGCTAGATTCCGGCTTTTTAAATGAAAAATCAATTTTGTTTGATGCAGGTCTAGCCGAGTCAGGTTGTGGCAGTAACAGGCGAGCCAAATATGCTGAGTCTGATTCATGAGCAACATGTGAGAGTAAAGAGGTCTCTGTCTGGGTGTGTATGGTCAGTCACTGATGACCTACTGTGCATAAACACTCTCAAACGTACATTTGATCAGACTGTAAAGATTTTTGATCTGCAATAGGTGTCGTATTTGATGCATATCCAGGATATAAATAGGCCAAAAAATGTCACTGGAGTTTAAAGTTAATCCATTGCGAGGAATGAGCCTGGCGATGTTGTGATGTGACATCAGTTACAGTACAGCACAAAGCCACAGAGAGCGGAAGCTGCTTTAGCCCGAGCCAAAGCGTCTGCACAGAAAGAGGCCGGACAAGACGTGATCTGTACCTTTCTCATTCCCTGAGACCCTAACTTGTGACGTTTTGCTGTGATGTGCACGGGTTGGGTTCTTGGGAGCTGTGAGGGGCACTCACACATCTCTGTAAAACAAAACGCCAAAACCACGCTTAACATGGCGGAAGGACAGAAACCACAAAGACCAAAAGGCAGCTTCTTTTAAATTATTATCACTATTGTTATTATTTTTATCCAGCAGCACATTCAATCCAGAACGAATGCAAATAGAGATAGCGAAAAAGAGGAACATTGGGTTCCTTTCAGGAAATGGAAGAGTTCAGACCCAGAGGCAGGCACAGCTTGTGGACCGTAGGGGTGGAGATGAGAGGAAAGATGGCTAGAGGAATGTGGCTATGAGAGACATGTGACCGGGGGAGGAGGGATGACCAGACGAGGTGGGGTGACATGGCGATGCACTGTCAGATTTTCAGCAGCATTGTTTTATGGGGAGGTACAGTGAATGAATGAGGAATCTGAGACTTAGGTTACACCCACAGTGTGTAATCTTACACAGACATCGCCACAGACAGAATACAGCAGAACCTCACTTCGGTTGCAGAAGACATTGGACTTGTCATATGCTACAACAAACTGCTAACTACTGTGTAAAACCCTTATCAAGGAAAAGCACCTCCTGTTCCCAGACTCACAATCAAAATGTCTTATCTTGAGAGCAGCACAAAGTACTGGTGAGAGCGTGACACTGAAAGCTCAGTACACTTGTGTTTGACCTCATGAATATCATCTTTTTCCGTATCCAACCAATGAGAGTGGCTTTGTTACTGCATGCCAACGACATTGAAAAGAGAAAGTCGTTCAGAACTAAATAGATACTTATACTTCAATACGCAGGATGGCTTCTTCATTAACAACGATACGAATGTACTCTGGTGAAAAGTTACATTCACAGTGTTTTTCATGCGGCTGGTTGGAGAATAGCATTAGGGGAGCAGCAGTCAAGGTTTTACATGCCGCACAATGCTGCAAGTGAGGTCAGCTGAGGTCTTCATCTGCTGAGTGCCAGACTTTTGCATCGTCATAGTCAACCTTTACTGGTATGTGCAGAGACTAATGAAGTATAGATGACCTGTAAACCCCCATCCCTCCGCCCTGCAGCCACTTCTACAGCAGTTTATTACCTGTATTTTTTACATTTTGTCTCAAGTAGCTCTTAGTGTCTAATGAAACTTCAGCAGCATTTGAATGCAGACACTGTTTGATGTTTTGTCCTCATTCTTTCATTAGCTCGGATGGGCTGTGGTTCAAGGATGGATCAGTTTGAGCTCAGGCGCTATTTTCAACCTCCCTTTGAAGAGGTTTTTGCTCTCATAAGACAGAAGAAGTTACCATTTTTGGTGCATTGTCATCCTTAAAGAATACTGATCAGCAAAGAAACTGAACTAGCTTTCAAATCTGCAGCTCTGTGTACATAGATGAAAGAGGATTTGTTTTTTAATTTATGTTGTTGGGTATTAACTAGGTGTAATATTAGGAAACTATACCATAACCATCTTATCATTAAATGACGATATTATGTGAAATAAATTCCTGTAACACTATGAAGCTTTGTCATTCAGTGTCAGGTGTCCACATCCCCTCCATCTAACAGACTAAATGTTTTGACTTGCCAAATGTGAATTTGCTTTGGGATGTTATTGCCAACAATTATTGTAATAATATTTTGTTGCCAAAATCCATATATTGTGCACAATTTAGGTTGGATGTGAACTTTGTATTGGCTAATATAAAATTCTCTTGTGTAATTCGCAAAGTCTAAAATTTAAACTTGAAATCCTGCATCTGCTTAATAAGATTTATTATTTAACATGATTTTCAGAAAAACAATATTTTGTGTGGTTTTGTGAACTTGATATTAATTTTTTTTAGTAGATGTAAAGTATTAAACTTCCCCTGCAGTTTTCTTTTTTGATCCACGCAAACATGCAGCTTGAAACATAAATCTTTATTTAATATTTATCATTTAATAGGTTCACCGCAACTAAACAGACATTATTGGAGTTACAAAATGGAGACAAAGCGCTGAACAGCTACTATACTTTTGTTTTTAAATGCTTTTTCTAACTACAGATACCTAAAACATGTTATTTACAATTAACGTGTCATGTTTTTGCTTTATGTTTAGTACTACAAATAAAGTGGTATGTCAGAGAGCTAGACAATAATTGCTTGGTTTTGGGGGGTAAATTTACAGTTTTACAGCCGCTTGACATCATTTACCCTAAAGCAACACAATTAGTGCATGATTGTGAAGCAGTAGGAAAGTTAGTGTCTTTTTGTTGTGAATAAAAATCTGAAAAGTGTGGCATACATTAAATTCTGCTACATGTTTTTTTTTTTTAATATGTCTCTTATGTGTCTTCTAATAAGAGAATTTCGCACATGTAGAAACTATAATAGTTATAATAATAAACGTTTGTGGGTTGTTCTCCTGAAAGTTGAGCCGCAGCCTCGGGTCCAGATGTTTTTGCAGCCCCATCAATCTGCTGAAGACAGTGTCACCACAGCATAATGCTGCCATCAGCAGGTTTTGTTGTGATGTGCAGTGTTAATTTTCTGCCACATATAACATATTTTTCAGCTAGACCAAACGGTTTCATTTTGCTCTCGTCAATCTAAAGCACCCTCTGCAAATGGGATTTTGTTTGCCTTTTTCTCAGTAAGTCTCCCATAAAGGCCATGAAATGCTCAAAAATGCTCTTTTCATTTTCAGAAAATTAATTGGACAGTGCTTTGTGAGGTTTTCAAAATGTATGATTTAATGATCAGTCCCCCCGTTTAGCTTCGTCACATCTTTCTCCCTGACCCGTCTGTGAATCTGAGGCCTTCACAGAGCAGCACGTTTATACTGAGATTCAATTACACTCTGGTCAATAATCATCTCCTTCTGAAATTAAATTTGATTGCACTGATTCGGAAAATAGCGGAAAACAAAAAAAAACATGCCACACTTTTCAGATTTTCTTTACTAAAATTTCCAAACTGATAAATTATTTCCCTTCCAATTAATTTTTATTCTGAATCTTTCAAAGTACAAAACCTTGAAGAGATTTCAGTTTCACTTACAGCTTCATGTCAAACCAAACAAGCTCTGTATAACCTTTAACATTGAGTTTTTGAAATTATATTTTTAAGACAAAGACGAAAAATACACCGATAAGTAACTCTGAACCGAAATGTGTCTGCATTTGTCATATAACAAAGATCTTTGACCTGATTTGTAACTTTGTGGATCTCTCAGCTGTAAATATTGTAACCATTGGGGGAAACAAATCATCAGATCCTCTCATATTCTGTCAGGTAAAAGATAAAGGAGGTTGGGGAGTTCATTGGAAAGAAAGCAAACCAGGTACACCTTGAAGCCTCTGACTGACAGAACACAAGCTTATTATTCTATTTTGGCGATAAAAGAAAATTAGACTGCATTATGTAATCTTATTATGAGCCTGCAGCGTATATGTTCTTCTGGTATATTTAACTTGTTCGTTCCTGAGCTGTTTTATCCAGGCTGATATCAATTTTTTTTAAATAAAATAGACTTTCTGAGTTTTACTAAAATTGTATCATCAGATTAGCATGATAGAAAATAATATATTTTGGAGGTGAATTATGTTTCATTCCTTCATTTGTGGTAAAACTATGAATAAAAAAACATCTTTTGTTTTAATGTGGATCATTTTAGCTCTGATTTCTAAGTGCATTAATGAGCATGTGTGAGCACACACCTGTTTAAGTGGTTTATGTCAGCTTTTTCTCCTGTTACTTGCGGGGTTTTGACCTCAGCGCTGCCCTCTGTCCGCCGTACGAACGCTGGGCTCATGTCCGGATTGAGCTGCTTCATTTCCAGTCTTTTGCTTGTTGCAGAAGCTGCTGTTGCTCCAGCAGCAGAAGCAGGTGTGTCTACCTCCTGCACGCCCCCCTCCCTCGTTCCTGTTCCCTTATCACTGCAGTACGGCAGCTCTGTCTGGGAGGCAGCCATTCCATTGTTCTCGCACCCGGCTCACCTATCGCTGCTTCAAGGGGTTCTGGATCCAATCTGGCTGCTCCGGTCCAAATCATTGTAACACTTGGCACTTTGCTGCCCTGTCTAGATCGTTTTTTTTTTTTTTTTCTCTCCCAGGACAGAGAGTACTATATTCTCTGCAGCAGACTGCCGCCATCTTGTTACAGCGTGTGCTGCCAGTCTGCCCGTCGCTTCTGAGCTTGAACCAAATTGTCCAAACCAGACTTTACCATTCTGACTGGAGCGCC